GGGACATAGCATGAACCTGTGAAGTGACCACCCTCACCGAACAGGGAAATCCTTTCATCTTTGGGGGGTTAGAGTTAGTTCCACCTTGTGCTGTTTCTGCCGACTGACTGGATGGCTTACCGCCCAGCAAATGGCCATGACGGGGTCACTGCAGAAGGGCTAGGACACCTGCCATTGGGGGTCTTAGCAAGTGAGAGCTGGGCGCAGCTTCCTCCTCGAGGCAAAGGCTGGTGGGCTATCCGGCTGTGTAGCATCCACACGCCAGGTTCACTCTGGGGCCAACGTGTAACACATCTGCAGTTTCACGGGGACACTTACTGGCCACCAGAATGACCCAGTGATCCCAGGCAGGGTCTTCTGATAGCTTCTGCAAACTTAAAACGGTGATTTTGTTGTAGAAAAGAATGACAAGTCTTTTCCGTCAGGTAGGGGAGCACAGTAAGCCTTTCCAAGAGTGCACCCTCCTGGGCGTGCAGATGCAAGTCTGCCGTTCTTGCACAGTAGCTGCAGCGGTGGCAGCAGCCTGACACCGACTCAGGCTAATCTGGCTTAAGCTCCAAGTATGACCTACATGAAAAGTGGCAGAGTCTGATGGGGCCTGGTGAGGAATTTCCTTCCACTTGCTCTAAATCCTGGAGCCTTTACAATCCAGCCTTTTGTGAAGGAGGAAGTGCTTCCGACCAGATCTGGAGAAATCAGATGTGTTTATGCAGGGCTAACAAATAAACAAAGATCTGTGCTCCCTCTGCTGGCTCTCGACAGCACCATTAAAGCAGAAAGCCATCTTCAGCAAACGTGGTCAATTCACGTTTCCGGAGAAGGCCCCCTCATTTAACCTGGTTTTAGGCATTCTTTGAGAAAAACCCATCTTTGTCAACTTCGGAGCAAGGTACTTGAAAATGCTTACAATCAGACATCAAAGTACACATGCCAATAGTCCTGCACTCCCAAATTGCTAGCTGTGACTGTAATAGTGATTTGGGGATTCATTTATCAACAGACATAAGTGGATTCCTCCAAGACTTTAAGGTCCAGACACGATCTTTAAAGCAGTTCTGGAAAAAAAAATCTCAAGTCCAAGCTAAAGTCCCTCTTTTTTTTTCTCCTTTAGTTTATAAGAGCAGCTTCCAAAAAGTAAAGATTTGTACTATTTATAGCCTTTCCGATAATGTCAAGCATTAGACTTGATTTTCCAAATCATTAGCATGCAGAAGAATGACCTCATGGTGAACAGATGCACTTGGCTATGAGCTGCAGTGATTACATCAGTCCCTCCCCTTCCAGTTAACTCTTTAAAGGCCTCTCTGCCACCCCCTTGCCTGGAAACATGCTTGAAAACACAAACTTAGTCTCTCACCCCCGTGTATGTGTGTGTATGTGTGTGTGTGTGTGTGTGTGTGTGTGTGAAATGCACATATAAATACACGCATAAAACATAGATATGTACTTATATGTGTGTGTGTGTGTGTGTGTGTGTGTGTGTGTTCACTGCAGCCCGTATTTTATCACTGGCCACCTTTTAGAAATTGCTGGTCAATAAGGAAGGAGTCAAAAGAGATGCAAACTACAGAGCCGGGTGGAAAGTCAGCTCAAATACCTTTTATGCTCTGGGTGTTATCAACATGAGTAATGGGCAGAAGAGATACAGGGCAGGAGGTGTTTAAAATAACATTTTTCTGACTGGGAAAATAGTTGTTTTGAACCTCTTTTAATAAGCTGAGCGCCCACCTGTTAGCCTAACAATAGAAGGTCCTACGTCCTGGTGTCGACAGTGAGTCCAGATGCCCCTCTGGGCTGCTCTGGGTGATAGGCGGCCGTGCTGAGGTAGGGGAGCCCGGGGAGCAGGGGAGGCACTTCCCAGGTACAGTGTGGGCCGAACACAGTGTTCAGGCCACTGTCCCTGTGCTTGACCACAGGGCCGTGTTGCAAGGACACAAAGAAGATCTGAGCCCCGAGTTCCTCAGACTGTGCCTGTGAGCGGGGGCCTGAGGCCCTGCTCTGAAGACACCGCTGCCGAGATGGTGTGATCGGATCCTAAGAGCGCTGTGGGAGCTTAAGCCGCTCAGGGTCAATTTTTCCAGCTGGCTTGTCACTTGGAAGAGCAGACCTCACCTCAATTTCTTAGTTTAAGCTGCCTGGCTCATCTGGGTTTGACTGTACTTGTCCCAGGAAAATAAAACACAGTGAAAAATGTTTTCGTCTGTCAAAGTGGTAACCGACAGGGAATAGGGATTCCTCAAAAGCAAAACTGGTCTGAAAATGAGGATGTGGTTCTGAAAGTGGGCCTGTAAATGGGACAGAAATGTACCCCTCAGATTCCTGGGCAAACCAAGTTCATTTCTAGCTCTTTCCTGATGGGTGTCGTGGGCAGCTACGCAAAGCGTTGAAAGAGAACATTAAGCCCAGACTTATAATCGCGCTCGTGTGTTGGTGCTGTATGCGTAGAAAATGTTATCATTCTACACAGAATACCCTGAACCCTGCGTGTTATGACATGTGATACTGCTGTCAATAATTTGAAAAGAGGAAGGACTGGCATTTGTCTTGACATCTCATCTTTGGTTTCATGTTCCTTTCATACAGGTTCCCATGCCCACGCTTAACGAGCTGTCAGAACCTTTATCTGTTCAGTGACATTCTTATAGCAGCCTGTCTCCAAACGGCAAGTCTTAAAAACCCCAAATCACTCCTAGAGGCTCACTTAAGATGTTGCCTACACGTGGACTCATTTGAACTGCTTTAAATAATTATGAACTTCTGGGAAAGAGCAAATTAATTTATATAGAGACTAAAATATACATAGAAAATAAAGTTCCTCAAAATTGGTTTCAATAACATCTTAATCAAGAGCCTTAAGAACGTAACAGTTAAGAAGTGGAAACATCTAGTTATGACTTAATTTCTTTTAATTTTAAAAAACAAAAAGGCTTCTCGAGATTAAAAAAAAATAACTGCACTAAAAACTTCAGTCCCAGTATTTCATGAGGATGGGAAAAAGCTGAAGGAGATCTTTAAAAAACTAGCTTTGCTGTAGATCCTTCATGTTCTCTCACCTATAAACTGAAGTGATTTTAAACCTCTAGCCAGACTGGGTATGAAATCTTCATTTCCCTTGAAACTGATTTTTGTTTTTTTTGGTTTTAGATAGAATGTTGGCAGAGTGTATAAAAGAATTCAATTCACAGCTGTTCTAATTTTTTAATGTACGAAACATTAATCAAAGCTTTAAGTTATAAGCTTTTCTCATGTTGCTTAGTATTCCAGTTCAACAAAGATCAATAGAGGCCATCCCTGTGTTTCTGGACGCCTCGCCAGGGAAGCAGAGGCGTGATTATGTTAATCTCGCGGCTCCCGCACCTCCGTGGCCGCTTATCTCCCAGGCCTTCTGCCTGCTGCTCCTGGCTCCCCGTGCGGGGCCAGCATCTCCCTCTTATCTCCTGACAAAGCTCGGGGAGGCCAGGACTGGAGCCAGCGATGCTCAACAATGATGCATGGCTGATTTTATTTGTAAGTGATTTATTTCACTGAATTTAATTTTTTTCACTTTGTGTGTAAGATATTTGTTAACAAGTCAGGATGGGAGAAGCCAGGCAGCGATCAGAGGCAACGGACACGGGGTAGAAATCTATTAGGCCCTCTAACAGTTGTGCCCGCCCTAGTGGAAGAGGAAGGAAGCCCCTCATCAAGGATTTCAACGTGCATTGACTCCATATCCTATTTGCTTTCTGAAAGGCAATTAATCTGTAATTACATACAGAAATTTACAAGTCATTCTACTCTTTGGGAAAAAAAACCCCACAGTAATCATATCATCAGTTTAAGTGCCAGCACATATTTTTTTTTTTCTTTCCTAAACTGGAAATATAAAAAAAGTAAAACCTAGAAACAACATTTTTGAAAATTTCCACTGGCCTAATAAGTGAAAGTGATTGTGAGCCAGTGTCGGAGCAGGTCCACACCAGGTGCTGCTCTCGGCGGATGGTCCCAGGGACGCAGACCGCTCCAGAGAGCGAGCTCGTCGCGCTGCTGTCACCATGGCCAAGGGACACTGTCCTCTCATTGCTCCCGCGTTAATCCCTGACCCGAGCATCTCAGCAGCATAATCCCCATTAAGCATCAGTGGCAACGGCTTCAACGGTGAGGAACTCTTTTTTGACAAGTAAGCACTGATTCGGGCATCGCTCTTAAACAACCCACACCCCCAAGTGAACCGGAGCACATGACTGACAACAAGTGCATTAACCTCGCTGGATGAGGAGGTTAACAGGATGGCGGGAGAAAAGGACCGGCGAACAGCTTGGATACAAAACAAATTAGAATGAATGTCATCACTCCTTTTGATATTCATTAGTGGATTCAGGGGGAGAATGTGCTGCTTCGTAAATTTGAGAGCATTTATCTGTGAAAAACAGGTGTACATCTGCGGTTCGAGCGTTTGGAGGGCACGAGGGGAGAATAAAGCGGCCACTCACCAGTTCCGCTGACGGAGTAGCTGGAAGACGGGGAGAAGACCTGGGCTGTGAAATCCTCAAACGTCATGACTTCGCGGTGGTTCTGGATTACTGCTTCGAGATACAGAGCTCTCTCCTCGTAGCTGCAGGAGTCGGTTAAGGAAACAAGTGCTCATGCAGAATGACACGCAGAACAGTGACAGAGTTCACTTTGTTTTAAATACAATCATGCATCTTTTACACTTGTGTGGGAAGAGGTACCTCGCAAGTTTGTGAACATCCTGTTGGAGAATTAAATATTAGTCATAATTCATGAGAACATTCCAATTTGGAGGCCTAAGTTTCCCTTAGATTTCAACTGCACCCAAACTAGTACCACTGAAAAAATATATAAACCAATAGTTCCAGAGTCACAGCAAAAGGTCATCAACTGGATTGGAACAAACAAAAACAGAGACATTGGTAGCGGCCCCATCCCTTTCTATCCACAACCGTGGGACAGCGCTGGATCGCCCCTTCTTAGTTCTGTGGATGAAACGTTCTTCTCAGCCTACTGATAAAATGAATCGATACTCCAAGCAATAATTGGTGACACACACTTAAAAAATAAGACCACTGCGCAGAGGGAAGGCCAGGAAGGTATGCTCTGAAGGGCACCAGAGCCTCAAGCCGAGATAAGCCACGAGTATTAGAAAAGAATAAGTGGGGAGCATCTAGCAGGGAGCGCACAACGCAATATTAAAAAAGAAGACTATTGCCTTTTAATTAAAACCGCAGTCTGGAACACACACATTCAAATGTGTAATCAAAAACCAGTCACCAATAAAACTTAGAAGCGTAACACGCTGAAGCAACTTTCCAGCTGTCTTAATAGGACCCCTGCGTGTGGCAGCCTTTCACAGGGCAGAAAGCACATCTTCCCCTTTTGTGTGTGGCTTCTGTTTCCTCGGAAGGTGAATCATGCCTCCCAATAACAGGATAACGTCAGGACAATCTGACAGCGGATGGAGGTGCCACACGTAGGGTTTTATGAATTAACACTCAGGGGAGTCGGCGTGATGTCTTACCCCCGCTTCCTGTGATCAACGCAAAAGTTAAGAGACACGTTTTAGTCGTTTTGAAAATCGTGCTAATTCTCCAGGAACGGGGAATGCGGGTCACTGCCAGTTTATTATTTGCAGCTCCAGAAGGGCAAAAGTAATTCTAGCATTTCTCACCATATTTTAAAGCGATCTTTTCAAAATGGCCTCTTTTAAAAATGTAAGTTGGGGAAAATTATGCCCTTCCAATAAGCTGTCGATAAGCATGTGTTTTAAAAGAGGAGAATATTTTTCTATTCTTTTGGCAGAGGATGCTCACGAGTTTCCTGGGATAGGCTCTTCCCCTCCTCCTTTAATTACATTCAGGGAAAGGTTTTCACCCTGGGAGACCAGAGACATTCTAGGGCTGGCTGTGCAAACATGGTAGCCACAAGCCGTAGGTGCCTAGCTACCCTGAAATTTAAATTAATAAATACAAAGAAATAGAAATTCGGTTCTTCTGTCCCACTCGCCGTATTTCAAGCATGCACAGCCACATGTGGCCAGGGGCCACCGGCCTGGATTGTGCAGATACAGGACACGCCCATCGCTGGGGAAAGCTTTCCTGGGCTGCGCTATTCCAGAATTTCTCTGCAGGTTGGCTCTATGCAACTTTTAAAGAGGAACGTGAGTTTAAAGGTTCAGAAGTGGCCCCTCTGATGATATATGACGGTTTACAGAGATGGTCACAGCATCCTGAGGCCTGGCTGCATGAGCCTGCATGGCGGGCTGAACTCCGGGTGACTCGCCTTCCCGGACAGGCTGCCCAGGCCTGGAGGGACCCGCTAATGCCATTCACGTCTCATTATGAACATGCTTATTCTGCACAGCACTTGGCTGTCACTGAGTGCGGCCCTCTGAGCCGCTGGGCCGCGAACAGCAGGACGCTAGGCCTGGACGGCCGGCTGGCGGACAGGCACTGTGACACTGAACTGGCACGTGCGGGCCCAGCAGGGGCCAAGCCAGGCGTGACAAATTACTCAAAAAGCTGAGCTCAACTTACGGCTGAAGACCACCTGAGCCTGTGGCCCTGTCAGCGCCCCTTCCCGACCCCCTCTCAGTGCAGCCTGCTCTCGGCCTCTGCAGGCCCATCCTGCTGGGTCCCGAGGCCCCGCTGCGCCCAGACACCCACACACAGTGCTCGGACGTGAGGATGCGCTGGGCTGAAGACACGGCGGAGGCCACACATCTGGAGGGGCGGCCGCGATGCTGACCGAGCTCACCATCCACCACAACGGGACGCCATGTACACCACCACCTACAGGACGCGCAGGGTGGCCTGGCAGCTCCGTCCTGAGCGACACTCTCCTATTGTCCATAAATTTGTCCCTTGTCAAGGCTGAGAGGTCTGGGCTCCTGAGAGCAAATCCAGCACTGGACTCTCGGGTTAATAATCCAGTTTTGAGATTCTCAGGTGCAATAAATATTTATGGTCTGACTCCTCAATGGAGGTACCATGGGAGAGCACAGGAGGTGTGTCCAGAACAGGGTCCTCGAGGAAGGGCTGCTTCCTAGAAGGTTCCCTGGCTGTCAGGTGGAGCACACACTCCCCACCCCAGGCTGGGCTATGCTGTGCTGAACTGGGTGTCGTCTCTCAGACAAACATCTGTTAGGGAATGGGGTGAGACCCGGAGAGCATGAAATGCGCTTGCACTCACAGCCCAAGCCAGGGCATGTAAACGCCATGACAAAGAGAAAACAAACATCACCCCAACTCTGGCACCATTTAGAAACAGCCAAGGAGCTCATGCGTGCCAAAATCTTTTTTTTTTTTTTTTAAGTAGCTTTAAGGAAATGTAGCTCTGGGATCTTAATGGAACTTGTTAGTAGCACTACTAGTAAGGGCAACTAACCAGGAGCAGTGTCTTCCATCATTTTCTTACCCAACATCCTTAGGGCTTCAATGCTGGTTGCTTTCTATTCAAAAAGGCATTTATAATTTAGACATCAAAGGCTTTATAAGGTTTGTCTCTTCACGCGTAAGACATGTTAAGACGTGAACTGATGGGCTTCCCTGGTGGCGCAGTGGTTGAGAGTCCACCTGCCGATGCAGGGGACACGGGTTCGTGCCCCGGGTCCGGGAAGATCCCAGATGCCGCGGAGCGGCTGGGCCCGTGAGCCATGGCCGCTGAGCCTGCGCGTCTGGAGCCTGTGCTCTGCAACGGGAGAGGCCACAACAGTGAGAGGCCTGCGTATCGCAAAAACAAAACAAAACAAAACAAAACAACCAAAACAAGACAGAAACTGAATGCTGAAGTAATGCCAGGCAGTGGATGATCAGTGACCTCTGACCGGAAGCAGGTGGCTACGGCGGCACCTGGTCACACATCCAACACCTGTTTCAATACCAGCCTTTGCCCTTCTGCTGTCAGCAAGTCCACTAATAAATGTGAAACTTATATTCTGTCCTGAATTATTACCTCATTAAATACCACAGTACTTTTTAAAGAGAAAATTTCCCCTTGATTCCTCAATTCAGAGAACATTCAAATTACTAACTAGAAATCCATCTCGGTCTCCAGATATTTTTGGGTTTTTTAGTGACCTACTCTGTCTACTCAATATTCCTCCACTTGAATAAAGAGGCCATATGTCTTCACTTGTTACATTTTCCCAAAAACCTCCAAGAGAACTTTCCTAAACCCTCAAGATAAACTCTGCTGGGCTGCAAGAGCCTGAGAATCCAAAGCCAAGCCCCCAAATTTATTCTGATTATTATTTGTTTTAATTTTTAGCAATGACAGTAGCAGCATGACAGTGAGAAAGGAGCTTGCTCTTCGCAGGAGGATGGGCTGGAGCTTGAACCCCACCCGCCAACTCCTCCCCAGTCCCCAGCCTCGGCTGCCTTCTGTGTATGGTGGGGACGCTGACATCGGCTCTCGGGGCTGTGGGAAGATTAGATAGATTGGATAGAATCATCGGAGGAAGCACTGACCCAGGTCCCAGCACACAAGAGAAGCACCATAAATGTGGATTGCCTATCCCCCCTCATCCCCAATGTGGGTTTATGAGTTTTTCTTCCAGAAAGAACATGGTGGATAAATGAGGGGGTCTTCTGCGTCAGGCTTTAGGCAACAGCCTCCTTTATGCTAGACCCACGTGAGCTGGGGTGAGTCCTGTGGTCTCCATGTTACTGATCAAGAATGGATGCTCAAAGAGCTCAAGTGATTTCTCTAGAGTCACAGTCACTCAGGGGTGCAACTGGGACTAGAACTCGGGTCTTCTAACTTTACTGCTTTCAGCTAATATCGTACATTCTAAAACACATAAATTCTAAGTTCATGATCTTATGCAAGGTTGGGAATTAAACTCCAAATGAGAATAAATCAACTGACTTAAATATATACGGGCATAAAAGTCAACCTATAACTGAAACTTGAGTACATAGGTTTAAGCTGCATTGATACCCACAGACCACGCTGACTTTATACATTCATAAAAATAACAATTACTTCAGTTTTTGGCTTGTTCAAAGCCAAAAAGTTATCTGGGAATAAATCTTGGGATAACTCCATTTTTCTTTTTCTTTTTTTTTAATTCAAGGAGTAAAGAGAACTGTTTGAAAGAGGCTATGTTGCAGATTGTACATTTTTCCAAACCTTGAAACCCTTCTTGCCTGGACCTTCTCTGTACTTCCCAAGAGTGGACAGGGCCTTGGAGGAGGGGGCCTCTGGACACCCACTGATAAATGCAGCTGCATGGTGGAATACTATACAGCACTGAAAATAAACTACAGGTCTGTGTATTAGCATGAATGAAACTCAAAACAACATTCAATGAAAAAAGCAAGTTACTGAAGAACACACATGGTGAAACTCTATTTACATAAAATTTTAAAACAGGCAGGGCTTCCCGGGTGGTGCAGTGGTTGGGAGTCCACCTGCTGATGTGGGGGACATGGGTTTGTGCCCCGGTCCGGGAGGATCCCACATGCTGCAGAGCGGCTGGGCCCATGGGCCATGGCCACTGAGCCTGCACGTCCGGAGCCTGTGCTCTGCAGCAGGAGAGGCCACAGCGGTGAGAGGCCTGCGTACCGCAGAAAAACAAAACAAAACAGGCAAAGT